TCGGCCCGGCCCGCTCTGCGGGGCGTCCTGCCGCCTCCCCGGGGAGACCGGAGAGCTCCGGACCCCGCGGCGTGTCCGGAGCGGGCTGGAGACCGGAGACGGCCAGGCTGGGGGACGCTGCCCCGGGTATGGCGGCGCCGGGACCCCGGCAGCGCGGGCAGAGCTGCCCGTGCCCGGGGCTGCGGACGAGGCTGCCCGTCCTGCGCTGGCTCCCGCGTTATTCCTTGGCCTGGCTGCAGCTCGACCTGATCGCCGGCCTGACCGTGGGGCTCACCGTCGTGCCGCAGGCGCTGGCGTACGCCGAGGTGGCCGGGCTGCCTCTCCAGGTGGGTGGCCGTGCCCTGTGGACGTGGGTGCCCGTCGCCCACCCGCCGCCCGACCGCGGCCCGGCGGTACGGCGGGCAGGGCGAGGAGGGCTGGACGGCCGGCGGCCGAGAGCCGGTTCTTGTGCCGTCGCCCGTTTTCCAGGGCAGGAAGCCGCAGGCGCCGTGTGTTTGCTCAGGGCTGGCCGTGGGCGCCCGAGGGACACGAGGGCAGCCCAGCCCTCCTCGTCTTGGCGGTGCCTGGCATTTCCCAGCAGCTCCGAGACCGTTGTGCCAGTGCTCCTTTTGTCCCCGTGCAGTACGGCCTCTATTCTTCCTTCATGGGCTGCTTTGTCTACTGCTTCCTGGGCACCGCCAAGGATGTGACGCTGGGTCCCACAGCCATCATGTCGCTGCTTGTCTCTTCTTACGCCTTCCACGAGCCTGTCTATGCCATCCTGCTCGCCTTCCTCTCCGGCTGCATCCAGCTGGCCATGGGGCTCCTGCACCTCGGTGAGACGCTCTTGCCATCCGTGGTTGTATTTTTAGGATATCGCTGTACATCCTGTAGTTGTTCCCACCCTGTGCTCTCTGAGACGCTGGGGTTGTCCTGCTAACTCTTGTGACAGCTTTGTGTGCACGCAAACACCCCATGCTCCCCGTCAGGGCCAGCAGCGTGCTTACTGCTGCCTGTCCCATGCAGGTTTTCTTCTGGACTTCATTTCCTCCCCAGTCATTAAAGGGTTTACATCGGCTGCTTCCATCACCATTAGCTTCAACCAGGTCAAGGTAGGTTCTGCTGGTCTGCTCTGGATGCCTTGCCTGCTCTCTCCTGGAGCCGGCCGTGCTGTGGAGCTGGGAGATTTAGCACCAGGCTGGGCAGCGTGCTCAGTGCGAGAGGAAGGAACCCCAAAGAGGGCACGGATCCTCCCTGCCAGGCGTTCTGGTGGGTCCCCGAGTGCTCTGCTCTGCGCAGACTAAGCCGAACGCACCCTCTGTCTGTGACCAGCTGGTGGCATTCAGAAGACCAGTAAAACCAGGACATTTGATTTGGTCGTTTGCAGGAGGTGCTGGGTGAGTCTCTCGGCGAGGTGGGTTTGCAGCAATGGGAGGTGTGGTGGCTTTGCAGCTCCACCGGTCCCTTGCTGGCCTCTCAGGGACCTGAGGTCCTCTGGCTCTTCTGGGGCTGCAATGCTTCCTTTGTGGTTAACCAAAATCAGAGACTCCGGGAGATGGTGTCAGGCTGTGCGAGGAACCAGAGGGCTGGTGTTGGCTAATGGCTGCGGTCGCAGCGGGGGACTGATGTGAAGGCGCTGGGGCCTTGCTGCTGTTCCCGGCACGGTGCAGGGGGATGGCAGGGCTGCGCAGGCTGGGCTGGGGCCCCAAACTGAACCCCCTCCCGGGAGCTGCGCGGTCGTGTGTGCAGGACAGGGTGGAGGCATCTCAGGGCCTGGGAACAGGGAAAAAATCAGAGCATCTGTGAGCTGTGCACGGAAAGGGCTGTCCTGGCGTGCATGCGGGAGCACAGGGTGGTCGGTGAGGAGATCTCCCACCAGCAGTGCTGACACCATGCGTGTGCCAGGGCTGAGCCCTGGTGCTCCTGGCAGTCCTTCCATGGCACGTGGCAGCTCAGGTTGTGCCAGGCTTTCACCAGGCTTTGTCTTCCTGCACAGAACATCCTGGGACTGCAGGGGATTCCTCGGCAATTTTTCCTGCAGGTGTATGAGACGCTGCGGAGGATTGGGGAGACCAGGTCAGCACCCACCCTGCTCTGTACCCCTGCAGCTCTGGGGTCTCGGGCTCTGCTGCTTTGCTCCCCATTTCTTTGGTCATACCTTGGACCAATTTCTCGGTCCCTGCCCAGCGCTGTGACACAACTGCTTCTTCTCAGCCATTTCCATTTCAGCTGGAAATTTGAAGATGGGGGAGCACACGGGCTCCCAAGCTGCTAAAGGGGAAGGATGGGGTACGCTTGTCCTATTTTTTGCTCCCAGTTAGGTACATCAGGATTTTGCCAGCCCAAAGGCATGTCCTTGGGACTGTCTGTGTTTTAAATCCTCCTCCAGTTTTTGACAGTCCAAGAGGGAACTTAGGCATCCCCATGCCCCCCGCCCTCTCCCGTTAGCTGTACCCGTGGCTCGGGGTCTCTGCCACAGCCTGGGTTTCTCACACAGCACAGTGACACAGGGTCAGCTTCATCGCGGCTGGCAGAACACCTCCCTGCCTAGCTGTGAGGGGCAGCAGCGGGAGGGGGAGGAGGCAAATCCTGCCTCACGGATCCTGCCTGTTGCAGGGGACCTTCTTTCCTGCTTACAAAGAGCCCACAAACCCATTAACATCATACCGCTGACTAGAGGACACCCCCTCCTCCCTCTCCTGCTGCCCCCTGGGGAAGCAACACGTTTTGCCGGTGGTGCGGGGGTCCCGGCAGCATCCCTGCAAGCTATGCACCTCCCTGCAGAGCCATGGCACGTGCCTGGGCACACACTTTTCCTCCCGTGGGGCTTTGGGGTGCCTCTCCCTGTGCTCCGCAGCATGTTTGGGCTGGCACCGATGTGCCTGTTGCAGGGCTGGGGATGCCGTCCTGGGGCTGGCCTGCCTGGCCGCGCTGGCAGGGCTCCGGGTGATGAAGAGCCGCCTGCCCCAAGCTGCCCCTACGGAGCCGCTGGCTGTCAGAGTCAGCTACCTCATCGTCTGGACCTCTGCCACGGGTGCGTTGGCCATTCCCTGCCCTCTCTCCTCCCGTGGCCATCCCTCCTGGGGTCTCATCTCTTCGGGGCAGGGAAGAGACAGCCTGAAAGTGGTAAAGCCCAGGTGGGCAGGAGCTGAGACCTGGAGGTGGGTCGAGGAGGACAAAGTCCCAAGGATGGTCCTGCCGCTGTGCATGCCCCTTCCAAAGGTTTGGGAGACCTCAGCAGCCCAGGTACCTCCTCCTGCCGTCCCTCCTGCCCCCCCGGGCTCCAGGCAGGTTCTCATGGTTGCTGTCTCTGCTGCAGCATGCAACGCCCTCGTAGTCCTGTTTGCTGGCCTGGTAGCTTACTCCTTCCAGGTGATGGGGTCCCAGCCGCTCACACTCACTGGCAGCATCCCCCAGGGCCTCCCTGCCTTCCGACTGCCACGCTTCTCCATGGCGGCACCCAACGGCACCGTCCCCTTCTGGAGCATGGCGGAGGTGGGTGCCAGGCTGGCCGGCGGAGGCTGGGCTCCCTGCAGGCTGCTGTCTCCTTACTCCTGCGTTTGCTGGCTCCCCACGCAGTGGGAGGAGGCTCTGCTGCGGGGTGACCCTCATCCCTCGGTGGCACCACTCACCGCATCCTTCCTTCCCAGGACATGGGGGTCGGGCTGGCTGTGGTCCCACTCATGGGCTTGTTGGAGACCATTGCGATTGCCAAGGCTTTTGGTACGGCTGCACCAGGCGCCTACACTCATGGAAGGGGTCTCTGCAGGGGGCTTGGGGTGCTGGGGAGGGTGCTGTTCCCATGGGGGCAGTGGGAGGGACTGGGCTGCCTGTACCAAGACCAGTTCATAACATGGGCTGGCAGGAGGGGTCCTGCGGGTGCTGCCAACCTCCTCCCCTAGCTAGGCAGCTCTCCCATGCATGACTGGGGAGTGGGCTGGGGGGTCAACTGCATTGTGCACAGCTAAAATCTGCACAGGAGCTGAGTGTTGTCTCAGGGTGCTCCTATGCCCCGGGGGGGTGCCGGGATGGGGCCCACGGCTGTGCCAGGCACTGCCGGCTCTGCTCCGTGTGCGTGGCAGGTTCTGCCTGTGGAAAGCTCGGGGCAAAGCTGCTCATGTCCTTTCAGCCTCGCAGAACGATTACAGGATTGACCCCAACCAGGAGCTGCTGGCTATGGGTAAGAGGCCACTTGGAGCAGGAGAGCAGGGGGTGGGGATCCGGCCCGAGTGCTGCTGTGTGTCCTGCAGCCTCTCAGCTACCGGAGATCCCCATCTCAGCAGTCCTACCTCTGTCTGAAGTTTTACCTTTCTTATCTTGCATGCTGCCCCCACCCCAAGCCTTTCTCACAACTTAGCAATTTCCAGAGCAGCCTGAGCCCAGCTCACACAGCTGGACGGGATCCGATCCGGTCCCGGGTACCAGCTTGGGGATGGAGGAGGTGATGACAGGGACACAGGCCCATCTCGCAGCCCCGGGCAGTGCCTCCCTCGGCTGCTGCATCCCCAGCCCCTCTCCTTCCCCACTGCAGGCTTTGCCAACATCCTGGGCTCCTTCGTCTCGTCGTATCCCATCACGGGCAGCTTTGGCCGGTGGGTAGCAGGACGGGGAGCGGAGCCCCAGCCCGCAGGATGCTCACTCGGGCTGTGCGGTGAGGGGGCTCTGCGTGATCTTGGGTGGAATGTTGTGCGGACCCCAGTGGGTCCCTGAGCTCGTGTTCTGGTCCCCAGCTGCCCACCTTGGCTGCCGGGCTATGCGTGGGTCCCGCAAGACCTTCTCCCCCATCTTATGTGCTCTGCGGTCCCGCTGCGGGCTGGAAGCCACGGGTTTGCTTGTGTTTCTCCCCGGTGGGGTCTGACGGGGTGGGTAGTTTTCCTGGGTGGGGTCTTTGGGCAGTGGGTGGGGGCAGCTGCCGGCCCCGGCCAGCCCCAGCGCAGCCTGGGACAGTGCGTCGCTTTACATTTCAGGACAGCGGTGAACGCGCAATCGGGTGTCTGCACCCCCGCGGGAGGGCTCGTCACAGGTAGAGACCCCGACCCTGCTGTGGGCTGCTCTGCAGGTCCCCGTGCCCAGCACCCGCTCCCCCCTGGGCATCGGGGACTCCGTGGCTCAGGTGCTCCCCATCCCCTGCAGGCACCCTGGTCCTGCTCTCGCTGGCATACCTCACCTCACTCTTCTACTACATCCCCAAAGCGGCGCTGGCTGCCGTCATCATCTCGGCTGTGGTCCCCATGTTTGATGCTGGGATCTTCAGGACGCTCTGGCGGGTTAAGAGTGAGGCCACAAGCCAGGGGTGATCGATCCCCTGGTGCAATCCGGCTCTGCCTGCGGAGCAGGCGCTGTCCCGGAGGGCCCTGTGGCACAAGGACAAGGCGCAGCCGAGCCTGGGTTGTCTCTTGCAGGGCTGGACCTCGTGCCCCTCTGCGTGACGTTCCTGCTCTGCTTCTGGGAGGTGCAGTACGGCATCGTGGCCGGGGTGCTGGTCTCAGGGATTCTTCTGCTCTACTCCATTGCCAGGCCTCCAATAAAGGTGGGCTTCACACCTCCCTTGGATGCAGCAGGGCCAGCCGGCCTCGCCAGGGAGCGGGGAGCTGGGAGGGGGCTCCCCGAGGGCATCGGGTTTTGGGGTGCGGGGTGATTGTCTCCAGCTCCCATCCTCTCCCGTGTCCCCAGTCTGCCATCAGCGCAGCACAGGGACCCCTTTCAAAGATCATGAGGAAAGGAGTATCCCAGGAGCTGAGAGCAGGAGAGGGAGGCATTGCTGTCCCTGTTCCTGCTGACACTGGGGTGTCTGCAGGAGGGGAGTTTCCCTGAGGGGTGGGGGCTCCCCTGTGTCCCCCTCCAGCCAGGAGGACGGGGCTTTGCTTTGTCACACGGGCAGTTGTCCCTGCCTGGGGAAGGTCACAGCCTTGAGCTCCCCGTGACTTGTCCCCCTCCACTGGGGTCCTGTGCAGGTGTCAGAGGGGGACGTGCTCCTCGTGCAGCCGGGGAGCAGCCTGCACTTCCCAGCCATCGAGTACCTCCGGGATGTCGTGTGCAGCCGCACTCTGGCAGGTATGGTGCTCCCCGGCCCACCGGCTTGTCCTGGGGACCCGGCTGTAACCCGGTGCCCACCTGGATCACTTCTGGGGGTGGCAAGTGCTGCCCAGACCTGCAGGCTGCGGGTGCAAGCAGCGACAGCACAGCTTCCCTGCGGTGGGGACCAGTCCCTGGCTGCTGCCGCTCTCCCAAGGCTGTCTCATGCCTTCCAGCCATGGCTCTGGCTCCAAGGGCTGTGTCCCCCAGGCTGATCATTTCTGGGCTCATCAGGGACATGACCGTATGCTCTTCTTCCAGCAGCATCTCCATCACGCTCCATCGTCCTGGACTGTTGCCACATCAGCAGCATTGATTACACAGTGGTGGTGGGGCTGGCAGAGCTGCAGCAGGAGCTGCACAAGCACGGCCTCTCGCTGGCCTTCTGCAGCCTGCAGGTATGTGGGATGCGGTCTTGGCTGGCCCCCGTGCCGGGTCCTGCTGCCTCTCCCCATGCCAGGCATCAGCTCTGCTCCCCCAGGGGAGGGTCTGCGCCAATGGGCTCTGCCCTGGCCGCTGGCATCTGCCACAAGGATGCTATTGCCTCTCTTCCGGTAGCACCTTCCTCAAGCGCCTTTGTCTCAAAGAGGTGGAGGCTGCAGCATCTGAGCCCAGCTGTGGGATGCAGGACGGCAGGGAAGGGCTGCATCCTCCGCCCTGGGCTGGCTGGGGGGCTCACAGCCCTGGAGAGATGGGAAGGGGCCAGCAGCAGGCTCCCTCAGCCCAGGTTTCTCTGTCCTCAGGACCCTGTTCTCCAAGTCCTGCTGTCCGCAAACTTAGAAGGATTCCAGCGTTTCCCCAGCTGGGAGGAGGCAGGTGAGGCTCTGGGCTGCCTCGGGTGTTCTCCCGGGGCTGGGGTCCCCCAGGCTGCTGCTGAGCAGGGATCTGAAAGACAAACCTGGGAATCTGACCTTTGTCAAGCCCCAAAGCTGCAGTGCGGGGGGCTGCAGGGGCCTGACTCCCAGGAAGGGGAGCAGGAGCCCCTCCGGAGAGCAGGGTCACCCCGGCCTCCGGGATTCACGGTGAGCTGTTGTGGTTTAACCC